TAAGCAGGAATGTAAGAAGAAAAGCCTTCGTGGGTCAATGAAATTCCTGGGACAAAATTTAATGGACACATGGAACTGACCATATCTTTTTTCTCCGATGAAACCCATCAAGAAAATGTGAACTCACCTTTTGAATTACTGATGCCACTACAATTTACTCTTTGAGATCTATGCTGGCTTTTAATTTAATTAAATAACTTAGCCGTTCCCCACGTTAACAATTACAACCATATTAATGAATATTTAAATTTTAAAATGCCTTGAAATGCGTTTTGTTCATAATTTGGGATCCTGCGAAAGCAGGTATGCACCGGCATTGATTATGAAATCACATTTATAAACGGAGATCTCAGTGAAAATTACTTTCATATATTAAAATGACAAGACAATGGAACGATTTAATTATGTGAAAAAATTATACTCTCTTCGACGAATCCAAAAATAATGAAAACCCATGTGGCTTCAAATTGAACCGAGGAATACTGATATGGTACCATTTTCTGAGACAATTATTTTTCCAATGCAAGGATTAATGGAAATATTACAGCACGATATCTTTATTAGTGCTTCACATTTAATAAAAAAAAAGTCTTTGAAAAGCAGAAGTGTGGTGGTATTTCCATCCAAAAATTCTTCGAACCCACAGAAATAATGGTGAGCATCTCTGAACTCGAATTAAATGGAAAAACAAAGCGAATGTAATACATTTAAATGTCTGAGAACGTAGCAATCAAGGAATAATTGTCGGTCGTCATTTATTTTCTTCTGAAATGCGTATCAAATCTGAAACCTTATGAAGCCCCCCGAAAACAATTTAAAACAATCGCAAAATAAGCAGCAAGAATACACTTCAAGTTTTCTCGAGAAAAGAAAATGCCATGAAAACAAAAGCCTTTGAAGGTGAATCGTGAAAAAGGGAGCATCAGAAAATGTATGACGAATAGGGTTATCGAGGCAGTATACTGTCGCGAAGCACTTTCACTTAGTCCGCGAACATACATTTTACTCCCAATTACACGCTTTTTTACTTACTGATAAAAACTGATGATTTTCTTACTATAAAAAGTTTTTTGATTAAGAAAAGGCAGGAAAGATGAGCTCAGCGAAGGATTGCACGGAGCCGACGGACATACTTGTCTGCGGAGGCTGTCGGCAGGTTTTTACTGACATCTGCGATTTGGCACAGCACAAAAAAGTTTGCCCTGGACGTTAGTGATTCATTTACAAAGTATAAATAAAAATAAAATGTATTTAATAATTTTGAAACATGCATCGAAGAAACTTGGATGAAAATCCTTATTGAAAGGTTCAGGATGTGCTTTATGTCATCAAAATGTGATACACTTCACTAAATAAAATACCGCATTTACTTGGTTACCACACGCAGATATTGCTCAAAATTAATAAAAAAGTGATCGCGAATGGCTCTGCAAATTTTGTGAATTTTTCATAGCTCGTCACACGTGCCATATATGAAATTTTCTTAAATAATTTGTCGAGACTAGAATGAACAAAATTATATGTTCAGAACTAAATCGATTGAACAGATAAAACATTTAAAATTTTAAAAGTGCATTAGCATGAATTTCAAATTTTCGCTCATATTTTCTAAAATAGGCTGCTTTTCGCGTCAAAACCTGATATGACCCATTTTGTGTGAAAATTGATTTTTTTTCCTAATCATTCTCAGAAAAAATTTAAAACCTTCAATTGCTGAAAGCACAGAAAAAGTCAGGAAACATGAAATGTACTGATGGGAAGTGGATGCAATTTAGCAGAGGGCGGCGGAGGAAGCGGGACAGTGTCGCGAGGCGGCATTCCAGCTAAAGGCGGCGCTCGAGGCGACCAGCAGCGGGTTGGCACGGGTTCGAGCACTAGCGGAAATGCTAACGCTTCCGGTCGGACTTCCTGTTTGAACTCTGCCGCGGAACAGGCTTCGCCGCCCAAAACCGGAAATCAACGACAGTCTGTTGCCACTGGTGGCGCCGCGAGTCGAGGCGCCTCTGCCAAAGCCAGCTGTACCGGCGCCACTCCCAAGCAAAGTGCCCTGAAAGCTGATAGTGGCAAGGTCAACGAAGATGTTGACCCCTGCAATGGCTTGAAGGTTCATTATTTTCCAAAAAAATGCGTGAAAAATATTTCAACTTGTAAAGCATTATATACTGTACAAGATTCTTGAGGCTCGTTTCAACAATACATATCAATGAAAATTAATATTGCCTGAGGCATTTAAAATTATCTGATCTGATCAGATTAGTTAATGATTTGAAAAAATTCCATGCACTGAATATGAAATGAATAAAGCTTCGAAAATAACTGACAATTCCAAAATCGTTAATTCGTTTCCTTCAGATAATTGATGCCCCACGAGACAAATAAATTAGCGAGAATTAAAATAACATCTTATCATGGTCGCTTAATTGGTTCTGAATAATTCGACAACTCAACACAGGTAATAGAAATCATGGTTCTTGGAATGTTTCAGAAATCCGAAATATTTATTTTATTTTATTTTTTTCTGGCAGGCAAATAACTTAGATTTAAAAGCATCTCTAATCCAGGAGGAAATACATAAAAATTCAGCACATTTGACGGCGTTCGTTTTCTATGGAAGAACAATTATTTTTCAAATATAAATTTTGCATTAGGCTGATGCAAACGGTGGGGAATGCGATGCTGAAGGAATGGAAGGTGAGGAAGACAAGGTTCCAGAGATTTTGGCTGTTGGGGCAATTATTCCTCGGGATCAGCAATGGTATTCGCCAATTGGGCTCGAACCCGGAAACAGGATCCTAATTTGCGGTCGCTTTCGACGCGACAATGTTGTGCCAATCGTGGATCTTTGGCACAACATTGACGAGCAAAGAGTGTTTTTCTACAGCGTTTGTTTCGACGATTGTCGAGCCGTAAGTCGTCACAAAAATTCAATCCAAATACAGTATTTTATAAAGTTCAATCTGAATAAGAATTGCAAATTTTCGCAGCGAATTTCGAATGCAGTATTTTCCATGACGAAATGTTAACATTTAAAAATTGAAAATGTATATTGAATAGTTCGTATGCCTTTCTGCAATATTTTCTTTCAGCCGAATCCAGTTTTAAATTTTCGCAGCGAATTTCGAATGCAGTATTTTCCATGACGAAATGTTAACATTTAAAAATTGAAAATGTATATTGAATAGTTCGTATGCCTTTCTGCAATATTTTCTTTCAGCCGAATCCAGGTTTTTGTCATCTTTTCCTGCTGCTAATTTAATTCAAGTTAAGATTTTGTAAAAATGAGTTTGTAGACTGGGGAATTTCGTTTTCAAGATACAAGGACGGTAGACGTAACGTCTGGCTTAGTTTTTCAATTCTGAATTTTATTTGAGTTGTAACTCATTTCTCCCGTGCCATAAAAGAGAAGAGTTTATTTTACAATTTAACTATAATAAACTCTTGATTTTACTAATTAAATGTATGAAAGCCCTGCTTACACTCAATTGGTAGTCAAATAATAATGGTTTGGTTTTTACCAGGTAATTGGCAGCAAGTTGGACGGAAAATGGGTCGGCAAACAAGCTGTTCCTGGTGATTTCCCCTACGAAATGTCGACGGATTTCACGCTGGAAATCCTGTGCAAGGACGACAGCTTTACTATCAATTGGAGAGGTGTCAGAGGTGACGGAACTGTCGACTTTCCGTATTCCTACGAGATAGAAAAGGTCAACATGCTGCGGATGCAGGAGTTCGATATGATTTACAAGATCGAGAAGGACTGGTTTTGAATCCGAATAAAAAAATTGCACATTTTTCTACTGAAATTTGCACGCAGATTTTTTTTATTGTCCAACATTCAAAACGCTCACATCCGAATGCCACTGAACAATCAATTAAATTTATCAAACACGTCTGCGATTTTGACAGTCTTTATACCTTTGAACTGAAATTTATTCCAATTGGGTTCAGGATTCAAGATTTGAATAAGTTATTGTACATTATATGTGAGTGAAATAGACGATATTGCGCGGATTCTTCTTAAATGGCATTTAAATCTTCGTAAATATTTATTTGCAACGTAAACAACAGTCACACGTTTTCAAAATGACAGCGTAAAATTTTCGAAAATTTCCTCATCGCACCCATGATTCTTTCGTCGTTCTGATATCTTTTAATTGCAGTTTCTGGCGTGAATTGAAATTGCAAAAGCACGTTTGAAAATTCCGGATCTTCGAGAAGAGAATACAGTTCAGGATCTTGCTTGACTTGATCTAAAAGTTTGTCAGTTAGACCAGATGCTAATGCCATTGTTTGCATGTGTTGCTGCTCCGTTTGATTCGGAGGACGTGCAAATGGTTGCAAAGCTGCTTTTTGCTGAGCTTTGTCGAGAATAATTGGAGCTTTTGAAGCCTAGAAATGAAAAAAAAAATTAAAATTTTAGCATTCGTTATTCTTCAATTTTTTTCGATTGTGCGATTCTGATGTGTAAGTAGCTACGTACCTTTCGTGCCTTGACTTCAATCAGCTGTTCTTCGGGTTGTTTGGCCTTTTTTGCCGAGAAAAACCCAGGTTTGAACCCACAAAACGCGTCTTTCCGTTTTTTATCGTCTTCGCAATCATTTACGCCTTCGTCTTCGTCGTCGTCATCGTCAGAGTCGTGATTTTCTGCCTTGGAATTGAACATCATCTCGCCGATTTTGTTCAGCATTTTGTGCCGACTATGCGACAGTCCTTCGTCAGTTAGAGCACTACTAAAAGTGATTCTTTTAGATTGATTCTTCTGATTGTTACTTGACTTTAAGGAACCTAATTCATGCGAGAAATCCTCCAGGGGTGGGATTTCTGAATCCTCATCTTGGATCGTTGCCGATTTGAGCAGCTGTTCCACCAATTCAGCAGTTGACATTTCAATTTTCGCGATGAATTAATTTAAAATAATGTTTGTCCTTCAGAAAATGCACGTGAAATATGTTTCGTAGCGCAATTCACCACCAAAACTGACTGGCGCAACCCAGGGGAACCCGGAGTTGAGCAGAGGGTTTCTGTGTGAACCGGTTTGATCAATATACAGAATAGTATTCTTCTTCTTTCACGGACTCCCGGCTTTATTTTTTTTCTGAGGGCTTCACATAATACATGATATAATTCAATTATTTGTATGGAGAATTTAGCAGCGCAAATCAAAAGCGTTTGAAGAACATTTCAATTAAGTTGACAGAAAAATCACTGAAGTCTAGTTCTTCAAGTGAGTGTTCTTCTGGCTACATGCTGATGAAGTGGATTAAAAATTTACTGATCCATGTCTTGCAACGATAACTGCAACCTTCATATTCTGAGCATAAACAATAATTCGATGTAATCCACTCTTGATTTATTAGTGGATTAGGGCGGAAGTGCGCATATGATGTAACTGCGCCACAAGATAATCAATACAATCGGGTTCCCCCAAGTGTTCCATGATTTTTTTTTTATTTGATTTTTCTGGACAGTACTCTCACAGAAATAAATGGCATTGATCCCACAGAAATTGCGTGAAACATTTATTTAGATTTCTGTGTAACCGGAGATATCCTTTCCAAGGCTAAAAAAAACTATTTTTTAAAGTTTCCAAGTGACTTACATTCCCTGAATGAATATCACCATAAATCAGCACATAAAAGGATGTGATTGGCTCCAGAAAATTGCTGAAAACCCAATCCTTCCTGAAAATTCCGAAAATATTTTCGCAGAGGCTCAATCTTCAGATGTATTTCTACTCAGGGTTATTCTTGGAAAGAGATGGAATCGGCTGTGTTTACATTTCAACAACATTTCTAGAATCTGATTTCTTCCATCACAAAATTCATCAAATGCCTCACTCCGAGCCAGAAAAAAATTTCATCGCAAGAAAAACAATTTTCACAATAATTCTCCACTTCAAAGATCGTTTCATGAATTCCAGAATCGGAACCCGAGGGCGATGTACACAGCATGGCAGTCGTAAACTCGCAAATACTTGATCTTCTCCACATCGTACTGGTACTCGTATATTGTACCTCCTTCCCCTCGACTGCCCTTCCACCAGACCTTGAATGCCTTGTCTTGACACAACAACGCAAACGTGAATTTGCCCCCGGGGCGAAACGGGAACTTTTCAGCTTCCGCCAGATGTCGCACGCCGACGAATTCCTCATTGATCAGACTGCCAATTTGTATTTCGTTTGTCGCAAATACTGGGTTGATGTACAGTGCCCTCTGGCGTGTTTTGCTCGACGAGAAAGGTAGTGTCATGTCCCAGAAGTCGAGTCCGAACGAAAAGTGCTTGTCATATCTGGAAATAAATTTTGATGTTAAAATAAATGCAATGAATGGTGGAAGAGAGCGGTATCTGTGCGTGAGCTTTCGGAGTCAACTCTGGCTTAATTTGAATCAAATGTAGAGGTCGCTCTTTCGAAGCAACTCGCCTGGAACTCCCAACGGGAAGAAACTTTCCAGATAGCACGATTCCTGTGCCAGGTCTCAGAGCCACTGGGGTTTTCCAGGAGCTGCCAGGACCAATGTATTCCCCTAGACCAAGTAAACTTGGAATATGTTCCCTTTCTTCCTCAGTGAACCAGTCTTGTGAGTCGTATGGGGTCGGTGTGGCTGTTCCATCAGGGGTCGGTGCCTTTTCATTGAATGACATGGCTTTCCTGAGAGACTTCTGTTCTGCCTTGGAAAGCCAAGACGATTTTTGTTCTAGATTATCATTCAAAACAGAGCTCATCGGGTTGCTGTCGAATCGTTGAGGCTGCAAGTGAAGATGAGTGCCATCATGGGATTCCTCCTCTGCTTCGACTTCCTCCAGGTCTAGATCTGAACCCAGGGGGTTCTGGACAATCACATCCAGGTTTTCTGGATTCGACGACATCATGGGTGGTTTCCCGTAGAATGACTTCACTTCCCCTGCCTATTTCCAGAAAATTAAATTAATGTTTAACTAACGTATCGAAAATTATACACGCGGAAATTTGATTTCCTCAAAGGGAATTTGCGGGAGTTGAATTGCAATGACACGTAGGGCAAAATTTATAAACAAAGGCAACAGCAGCTTATTTTATTATTTCATAGGTGTCGCTCACTAGAAAATTATTAATAGTGGCCTTTTCTTCGACGATATAAAAAGAAAATCTAGCTGTTTTGAACCGTATATCGGGATTGCATTTTTACCTAATTAGGCTCAAAATGCAGAATTTTATTTTCCGGAAGTAATGTATATGCATTCGAAAATAATTTATGGAAAACTAGTGCCAAAATAATGTTCATTACGTTAGCATCGAGAACCTTGTTGCCCTCCATTCTGGCAGCCTGAGAAGCCTCGAGGCATTGAAACTCTTCAGCCTTGTGAGCTGCAAATTTCCTGGCATCAGCAAAAAGAGCTTTACATCGCCCACAAACTATAACAACTGCGTCTTCGTCGGGTTTGAAAACCTTGGCAAGCCTCGCTGCAGAACCCTTGGCAGATCGCCTGCTTTGTTCCAGAACCTGGCGATAAACGACCCGGGTTTTGTCTGGCGAATCGGAATTCGAGTCGACGAAAACCCGTTCCGGAGCCTTATTCATCCCTGCCTCCATTTCGACGTAATCATCATAAAATAAACCTTGCTTATGTAAAATTATGTAACGAAAAAAAAATTGGGATTAAAAATGATGTTTAACGCTGTGTAAAACCCGAGGAAAGTTGGTTAATGTTCGCAGTCGAAAATTTCTATCACTGAATTTCTGTTCAAACCATGTAAGGCATCGTCATGATTCAAGGACGAATGCTTGTTTCCTTCTGCAAAAAAATAAGTTATTTTTTTTTCTCCTGCATGTGAAATCAGCATGATGATGGAANTGGAATTTTGGCAGAAATTGGCAAAATCATGCTGCTTCGTCAATCGAAGAAATATTGCGACTGACGCCTCAGCTTTCTTTTCCGCGGAATTCAGTCGTTTGTGCTTTTGAGATTCTTTCCGTGTAACTTCAAAATGAGGCTCCTGAGTCGACTGAGTCCAATGATTACTTATCTACGCAAGTAAGATTTTGATTCTTGGATCATTAAAGTAATGGTTACGTAGTTAATTAACCCGTTTTCCTCAGCTTTCCCTTGAATGGGAAGAAGTTTTTGCTTATCTCCATGCTCCTCTTCTCAGTTTACTCAACATACTTCATCACGGACAGGCTGGTGAGCAGTAAAATGCTTTGACACGAAATCAAATTATATTTAAATTTTGTATTGCAAAAAATATGCCAAAATCAGGAGCATTACCGACTGTTCACCGGATACACCATCAAGCAACACATGAAATCCATTTTGCATCCGTGGTACAAAAATCACGGGAAATATATTCCACCGTTCGTGGAAGTGAAGAATCTTTTGAAAGCCTCTGACGAAGAACTGGCTCAAATTAAAGCTTTGTTGGTGTCGTATGAGAATGTTCCAGTCGAGCAATTTATGTCAACACCTCAAGGTTATGACGAATGGGGGAACCCTGACAAATTACCGGTTTGCCGATTGTTCCCGAGCATTTCAACCTTACATTACAGCAATGGGAGATTTCAGGTATTTTTCATACCTTCATTAACTTTTGATTGGTTCAAAAGTGTGGTCGATATTTTGCTTGATCCCATTGTCAATGTCCTTCTATCCTTTCCATGAGATTGTCTTTCTATATTCTGTCTTCTTATGATATTTTTGGGGCTAGAAATAATTTTTATTTCATAATATTCGAATATTTGCTGAATTATATTCTAATTGTGCTCGTCAAAATAGAAATTATAAGGAGGAGGAGTTCGAAGGGTAATATTTTTTTTTGAAATTTTTCAAGTGAAAAGAGGAAACAGCAAAGTTTCACTGCCAAATTCTTTTACTGATATCAGAGGAACTTAAGAAAAATCAAGTTTCTGGACTATCTAAATTATAGGGCATTGATTTTTCGTCTAGCCCTTTGAAACCTTTTTATTAACCAAAATGGGAGAAGCAAGAAATTATTTTTAGGAAGTAATTTTTAACGAGCACTGGTATAATCTTGCTCACAGCTTTTAAAATACAAAATAGGATTCACTTTCCAATTGCCAAATTTTTAAGGTGAATATTTCGACAGAAAATCTTAGTAACACCGAATTCCACAATGAATTTATGGATATACGACCAATCTACAATTCCCTTGGTTAAACTGTCGCAATTTGGGGGAAATTTTTTCAATGATGGCACATGTTGAGTTAAGTCTGACGTGGAATTTTAATTTGGAGTGAAAAAATAACTAACTGAATAAGGCTGGAATTTAATATAATTTTTGAAGAAAACAAATAAAAATTTGATTGTCTTGTTGAATACACAAGACAACCCTAGTTTTTGATTCAAAGAGTTTCCCAGCATACCCTTTTTGACCGGGATGAATTCATTCTTTATTTCAAACCTACCTTTATTTCTTGCAAAATTGCTCGAATGTGGTATTTTGCAATAGGTTCTGAAGGCGAGTTTTGGATCCGTGAACATCCGGTCATGTCACTTGACAGAGAGAACAAGTGGCTCTCCAATCGTCCAATGCATCACCTATGTGGAATTAAGCAAGGAATATTTTAAATCAGTACATGGTGCAGAACTCAAGGTATTTTTGAGATTGGGTGCGATTTACTGGACCCATGACCGGAAGCAGATATACGAGAAGTCGACTCCGAGTGACTCGGTTTCTTTCGAAATTACCAAACGCAACGAAGGCAAAGATATCGTTTTCTCCTTCGAATTCCCCGAAAAGTCAGTATACTTAACCCGATTTTTTACATAATATTTACGCATAAACTGTATTTTAAAAATTCGCACTTTTATAGTTCTGATATCAACGAGCTGCCGGCGATGAGTTTGACCGACCCGAAGTTGGGATGCGTGGCAAACACCAATGGCATCAAAATTAACCATTTGCATACGAATATTTCGAATTCCTTAGCGGAACCTCAAGAAGAAGAAGACTTCGTCGTTTGCGCAAAAGATCTGTTTTTGCCTTTCGACGATGAGTCAGCAAAACTGACGGAATGGTTCGAAATGGTGAAATTACTCGGGGCCAGCCATGTTTTCATGCCTCTGACTGGGGAATTCCAACATCCGAATGTTGAACTCGTTATCAAGTAAGCTTCTTTGAAAATCGTTGGCATTGAATGCAAATTTTCTAGTTTGCAAAAAAAAATTTCTTCGTATTTTTCGGAAATCTGCAAAGTTAAATTAGGGCATTTTCGAAATTGTGATGCCGCAATATTGGCTTAATAATCTTCCGGTTTCAAATGCCATTTTTCGTCATTTATTTTAAATGATCATGATCCATTGGCGAATTATTTTTATTAAAATTAAATGCCCAAATAGGTTTCTCACAAAAGATTTTCGAAAATTATTATCTTGGCTTAATTAAATCAAGTCACGTACACTGCATACGGTAATTTCTGGAACTTGCATTAAATATGCATACCATAATTAATAAATGGTACTCAGCAGGGTGTCGTTGAACAGTGACATCTATGCTAGAAGATGAGAATATGCCCCGCATATAAATTTTGGAAGTATCACGAGTACGGTGACACCTTAGCTGTCCGAAATTGTGCAATACAGTACAGTATATTGAAATTCGAAAATTTTGCTTATTAATGAGGACACTTATATTTCGGAAATTTTAAGGAAATACGTTCGAGATGGCTTTCTGACAACCAGATTGGGAAATTGGCCAGGTAGACATTCCTGGCCAACTGGAATGATAACCCTTGCTCGGAATGCTCCAGAAAATTCTAGTTTGCACAGACTTCAAGAATCCCTGCTTGCCATGGACTCCATGTCTTGCATTCTAGATGCCATCGGAAGGTCTGTGAAACAATTGATCAATTATCGAAATTGAAAGCGACTGATGAATGCAAATTTTATTCAGGTATAAATACGCCGTCGTCCTCGGGTCGAACGAGTTGATCCTGCCAAAAGGCGAAGGAATGCAAACATGGCAAGACGTGATGAGCAAAATCCCTGACAAAGGAGAATCTTCCGTTTGTTTTCCAAGCAAGCAAGTCATCAAGCATAAATCCCGAAGATACAACAACACTGAAGGCTTCAACGTAGACTTACCAACCAACACGTTTTTTCTCAATCACCTTCACACCTTGCCAGCAGATTTAAATTCCCCAGTCTCAACTCACTGCATACACAATTTGGCACATGTCAAAGAATTCGTTGGATCAGAAACCGGTTCTGTCAATTGCTATCATGGTTCGCAAGTGACGAATCAAGCTTGTAAACGGGTCAACGTGGATCCTGATCTGGCTGAATGTTACGAATACACAGAAAAATGTTTTCCGCGAAGACACGAACCTGTTGACAAATTTGGAATTTTTCCGACTTGTGAGCTGAGTAAGGATTTTAAACCGAAATTGCAAACCGATTCTACAATTTTGAAATATACGAATTTAATTGAGGGATCGGTCAAGAAATCTTTAGTAGTTGCCCTCGCCGAATGAAAGGTCACTTATATAGTCATTATTTAAAAAGTGATCCATGATTTTTTTCAAACCCACTATAGCAAAAACGAAGATAATAAAACGCTAATTGATTAGATGCATCAAAAAATATTCATATAAGAAGAAGGTGTCCCATATCACTTGAATATACATTCAAGAACATTTGTGATCGTGGGTGCTGGTTTTTTGTTCACGTTTTAAACCAGTGCAGTTTGTAATAAAACTGAAGATTTGAAGCCAATATTTATATTTTTCGTTCACTGATTTTTTTTTAGAAATGTAGGCAAGCTTGCAATTTTTCAAGCTTTTGCTCGATTCTCATTCTGTATTCATTAGTTTCGTCTTGCTTCGCAGACCTTCATTCTCGTCTCCACAGAATTGCATTGTTAATTTCAGGTATGCATTATTTTCAATTCATAGGCCAAGGTTCAAGTCCGCTTATCTGTTAGAGTTTACAAATTTGAATTTTTAGGTTGTATGGGTTGAAAATGAAGTTGCGTTTGAAGAATCAATGGAATTCCAGACGTCTTCAAATTTGAAGGGGGCAGGGAATTAATTCTATTTAGGGAAATTTTGAGTCAGGGAAAGGAAAATTTTTTGTATTTGGAGAAAGAAAGAATGATGACAGGAAATTGTAATTGGGCCTTCAATTGGTTTTTAAATGAGTTGCCATAATGCTGATGCCATTGGATGCAAGGGTTTAACGTCCGCAGTGGGAGGAGCGACCAGTAGGATCCTACAGGGGTCTGGGGGGGGAATAATAAGGACATTGTGTAACCTGTGTCTGTGGCCTTTTGCACCTTGAATCAATTTGCCTACTTGAAAATGCATCAATTAACATTAAGTTGTCAGGATGGCTGAGTGGTCTAAGGTGCTGTGTTCAGGTCACAGTCTGGTTCTGCATGCGTGGGTTTGAATCCCACTTCTGCAATTGTTTTTTAATTTTTTTGTTTTTTTGTCCGCACTGCAGACGCTCTACTACTTGTTAGCCAAATTAGCCTTTTGCTTTCTTACAAAATTAATCAAGTTACGATTTGATAGCTTTTCTCTTTGCAAAGTCGATAAAATAATAATTGGAAGTCCTAGCTGCAGAAAATTCGAAGGTTTGAGGAGAAAAGCCTTTGAGTTACAGAGGTTTTCGATCTGCAATTTTTTTATAAGTAAATTCAGACTGGGACTTGAAAAAAAAGCGACAAGGGAGGTACTGTATTTGATTCATGAATGCTCGAGTTCATCAGCAAGGTTTAATTGTATTAATTATTACTTCGTAAACTGTTTTTAATTCCTTTTGAGAACGAAAAAAACGCAATTTGAAAAGACCTTGGTTTTGATATCTGCTGGGTGGAAAACAAACGGCCTTTTTTATTCGATTCCTTGCGATGTTCTTCTTTTTTGTTTCACTTTTGTTACTGCTCTTGCATGGTCGACACGAAGACAAGGGGGATTTTCAGCCTGACTTCGGCTGTGCTGTGTGTTGCCAAGCGTTTGCTGACATGGCAGGGCAGGTGATGGTAAAGAATAAAAAAAAAAAAAAATCAGAACGATGAACTCTTGGCTGTTGAACATTTCATGATATAGTGATGTTAACGTTTTCTTCGAGTGATTTGTTTCTTTTGCCCGTTGACATTTTTTTCGAATGAATTTTTCGTTTGATTTTGTGCGCTGGGAAAATTTCGGATTTAATGCTTCCAGTGACGACGTATATGTAGGGTTGATGAGTTTTTGTGTGTTCGTGAGATATTCAAGGCTTGTTCAAAATTTTTATGTCGCCAATAATTGGATAGCTCTTCGATTGCGACGACGAACTCAAATATTTCGGTTCGCTCTTTCATTGAAAAATTTGATTTTTTTTCTGTTCGGAATGGTCCGAAGTTTTCAGTGCGTTATTGAGGTTGAAAGCGAAAGTTTTCGACGGCGAAGGATTCAATGTGGTCCAAGTGGGCTCTTAATTCGTTTTTCATTTAATGATGAAAGGTGCTTTAATTTCTGATTCAGAGTTTGGAATCATTTCTTGGGGAGCAGCAAAATTAAATGTTAATACTTAAATTTCAGTCAAGGCTTCAAAAGCAGGGGAAAGTGGCGCCATAAAGCAACAAACTGTGAGTCTTGGCGGCTTTGGGAGGAATAAAAGTCGAACAGACAGCAGTGTCCCAAATAGAATTTTAAAAAAAATGTCAATAAGGATTGATGAATCGGATAAAATTTCGAATTTTTGATTGAATGAAAAAATGAAGCGCATTTTCTGGCCAAGTGTAAAATTTCTCCTCGCTGGGTTAATTATCCTATGTGACCTGAGATTGTCCCGGTGCGGGCGAACTGCTGCCCCAACATTCAGTGAGTGCGAAACCCGTGATTTTATTTGTTTGCAATTCGTTTTATGATAAAATTTATATTTGCATCAAGCGCCGAAGACTGCATTGGACTAGATTTTGGTGATATTGCGGGGCAATTTCATGAGCCTTTTTTGTGTGCAGAAACTTGGCACATTTGCATTTGCTGGCGTAATTGAGTTAACCCACAGAAGCACAGTACTTTCACGAGTTTCATTTTTCTTGTGGGGAATTTCAAAAATTTGAACGAGGACGAGTCGCTTCACATTCATTTACGAATAGATTAATGTTTTATTCACGACTCAGTGATTATATAATGCTCACCCAAATTTACACTAACAATCTACTTCCTATGCAGGAGCAAAAATTGTGCTCATTTATTTGAAAATGCAGTTCATAGAAGTTCCACCGTTCTTCATGCTTTCCGGTCGAAAATTGAATGCACAAAAAAATGAATATTCAAAGTTCCCGAATTGAAAAAAAAGAGATTAAACGGAAGATAACATGATCAAAGGCGCGTCTGCATTTTTAAAACTGAAAATTTGAAGTTCCCTGGCAATAATCCAAGCAGAATTTATATTTTGTAATTATGTTTTCCATGAGAATAATATTTTAGATCACATTATTGATCAACACCATCGAGAAATAGAAAATACAATTTATTTTTTCAGTTTCGCTGCTTAGGAGACTGTTGAATGAAGGAACCCGATTACTTCCGAGACCAAGTGCGACGCCGGCGTTCGTCGGTGGCACTGCTGTCGACAATCGACACTCTTTCGGATACGTGGCACGAATCCTAACACGGTATTCCGAATACAACGGTGTTCTCTGTACTGGGGCCTTGATCCACCCCGAATGGGTCATCACTGCTGCTCACTGTGTCACTCGGGACACCACGAGGTCACGTTTTGATTTAACTCTAGGACGAATTCCCTTCTTTGAAAACCCAGTCCATAAATGTATGAAGTGCTGAGAGCACCTGCTGAAGTTTGAAACAGAATGCTGCATTTTTACAGGATCGTTTGAATACATTTAATTATTCGCTGAATAATTGAATTTTCTAGATATTCACTTATTATTGCTCATTATTTAATTTTTTTAGACGCGTGGGAAAATTTTGCAACGGAACAGATTATTTAAATATTTTTCTCGCATTTTTCTGTACCTGAGGTTTTTTTTGGGTAAATAGGTGTCGCCTGAATCGCAAACCGTTGTATTGGGTTGGATTTCAATTCAATCAAGTTTTTTAAAGTCAGATTAGTTAGCGTTTCGCAAATGAGCTTTGTTTAAAAGAAAGCTTTTTCGAATAAAGCATCTTCTGTCAGATTTACAAGAATTTGAAAATTGGAGGCGGAAGAAAAGGACCTTAGCTATCATGAATTTGATCAGGAGTTTTATTCCCGAAGTAATGAAGTCACTCAATAATCTTCTGCATCCATAATTTTCGTTCAACTCATCAGGGCATTGTTTAAAATTGTTGGCCATACAAGGCATCGTAAAGTTGCGACGCAAAAAAAATCCAAATTTTAAATTCCTGTGAGCCTAATAATTTTTCAACGAATACTGTACTTATCCGAAGCTAACTAAATGGATACATTTTAAATTCCTTTGAGCTTAATGGTTTTCCAATAAATACTTTTCCAACTATTTCAAGCAGAATTCAACCCCCAGAAGGCCTCGTTGTCTATCTGGGTGACCTTATGGTAGGAATTCACGAAGAAGAAGAACAACAGTTCACTGCCTGGGCGGAGATTCACCCGGAATACGAGCCCGTCACTCGCCACAACGACATCGCCATGTTGTTGCTGTCACATCCTGCCAAAATTGACTCCATGACGTTTCCAGTGTC